ATAGATTCTCGCTTCATATGCACAATCCAACGAAAAAGGGGGGGGGGGGGTTGGCGCGGTATATCCGCTTCGAGGTCACACTTAGGAAGCCTAGAGGTGGGGTTGCGACAAAGCATTGCTAGCAGTGTATGTTCCGCAATTCATACTCAGCTTATCTGAAACCCATCGCCTTCGTCGCGCCCCGACTCATCCAGCTCATTGCCGTGAAAGTTGTGCCCCACATTTAAGGCAATTTCTACCGCGTTCTTAAGAAGGTCAAGCATACGCGAAAGGCACTTCCACATCATATTGAAAAAATCGCGGGTCCATAGTAAGATACACAATTGAAGGCTCTGCACAACTTCGTTGCGCCGATAGTTCTCCGATGCAATCTAAATTCTAGAGTCGGCTCTTACACGCAATAGCAAGCGAAAAGTCCTCTCCTTAACTTTACCTTCGAAGCGTATGTCTTGGTGAGTCTCTGAGAAAGACCCCACCTTGAGGTCCCACCGAGTATACCATGATTGCTGAGGCAACCGTGATGTTCTTAGATCAACGAGCCTCCGACTCCTTACGTAGCGTTTATAACTTTACAGAGGAAAATGCGGTTAAGTCGCTTCCCGTTCTCATAATCATCCACGAGGATAAAACATCATCTAGGCTTTGCGTCATCTTTGTGCGATACGTGTAGATGTACATGCCCTTCCCGACGACGGACGACCTTACTGAAACCCACCTTAATTGACGAAAAGAGGTTTAATTCGTAGCTCTTGAAGAGAATCTGCCTTAGCAAGCCGATCTTTCGCAATCGTAAGTATATGGGTTGCAGAAACTGAGGTGAAGTCGCTCTAAGAGTGCGTCGCGACTTCGCAAGTCACCGCTTCTCGGCAGTATCGCTTACGCCTTGATCTGCAACAGCGGGTGAGTTCAAACCATGATTGATGCCTTGTAAAGGTTTTATAGAAGAATATGAATTTCATGATTTAATACGCGCTTTGGATAAGGAAAGGTTGTCACCTCACCCGTTTTCAGCTTCAATAATCAGCATCAACAAAACAAGCACCCGACAAAAAAATGTTTACCATTAAATTCTGCCCAGCACAAAACACGATGTCGATGCTTGGGTGGGATGGGCTTGTAAATAGTCCAACAGGTATATTTAGTAGCATTTTGAGCTATACTTTACTCTATATATACTATTGTAAAAATTAAATCAAAGAGAAAATTAAAGAATCTACAAGATACACAGAAATATAGAAAGAATAGACCAGATATTTGATAAAAATATACCAAGTGTGTATATGGTTATGTATATATACACATGTAGACATATTTATGATATCAATATCAGTGTAAGAATACATCAAGTGCGCATAAAGAGAATGTGGCACAGAAAACATCGTTATATCGTTCGAAAGTGACCCATGCAAAGCTAAAAGATACACTCTGACATGAAATAATTTGCCAGACAGCCAGAAAGATTACGCTTTATCACAGGTTTTGCAGACACCGCATCTCCAAACTTGTTTCTTTGTGAGCCGAGCAGTTGCCTGTTGTGACGGAGTACGACTCTTCTCAGGTCTTTCACACTTCTTCAAAATCTGGGGAGGCTTGCAATATCAATTTCGTAGACTTTATATTTTCTCTAAATTTCAAGCATTTCGTGCTTGAGAGGCTCTCGGCTTGGAGCCCAAGTGATACCTGATAGACCATCCGGTGTATGTTAGCTAACGCGAACTCGGAGGGTAAAGCCTCTCTTTGAGTGAGATGCAGTGCAACCTGTTGCATTTGGTACCGGTGGCATTTGTGGATTTGCGTCTTGGAGACGTTATTTAAGCTTATTTCTGTCAGCTTGCTTGCGCAGTCTTTCGGAAACCCGGACAGGGTGTCCCGATAACCCTGTTGAACTCTGCACTTATTCTCAGTCCGACGATCGAGTCTAAGGAAGACTGTACCATATGTAGGAATGGAATTATCTGCATAAAGAAAACGCACCTAAAAGCATCAGTTTCCAGCCAGTCATGAGAGGGTAGCTCTGATGAAACGGAGTGCGTACCCTGATATGGCAGGCGTAAGTATGTTGTGGACTCAGAACGCAGCTCAGTAGTACTTGGGTGAAATATCATGATAGATTATCATTAATAACATTTCATATAGATAAAATTAATGGTAGTCTGCAAAGAAACGCTCCTTCCACTTTTGTTGTCAACGGCTTTGCTTATCCCAAGAAGGTTGCCGGTGCACTTTGAACTTTAAGCTCTAAATCGACCCTTCACTACTTGTTATTGGGAAATGGGTTGCGCTGCACGACTATGGCCCTTCTCCTCAGTAAATGACTTGCAGTAAAGTAAGTGGCAATTCGTAAAGGCGCAGGATAAATCTTGCAAAAAACCTTGGATTCATATAAATCCTTAAGGCGATAGTAATTTACTTTACCAGTTTGGATAAAGTTCTGGTGACCACAGTAGTTTTTTTCTGTCTTACTTGGAGGTGAGATCTACTTTGACCGTCGGGCGGACCCGAAATGAACAACTTACCGTGGCTGACTATCGTGAATTCTCTCGGTGTTTGCAGAGCATCGACTTTTACAAATTTTCTCCGCTTGCGACCGGTACTTGTACGAGTCATTTTTTAAAGCTTTCACCGGGATGCGCAAAAGGTCCAATAATTGGCTTTACATTACGTCCTCTTTGACAGAGCGCTTTGCATCTAAAGGCGAGGTCATGGTATCGCATTATTCAGCTCGGATAGAATACAGTATTCGCTCGCGCTCTCTTTAAGATACTGAAACTGGAACTCAGTTTTTTTTAGCTACGAGTGTAAACAGTCCTATGTGGCGTGGTCGCAGATTAGTCCAAACACGCCGGCTAACAACGTCTCATAATATCTAATCACCCATTAGAAATTCAAGTATATACCGTCTACCTCGAACATCTGCACGCTCTTTTGCATAATTCTAAATCTTGTCGTAGCGTCGCAGACTTGTCGCATCACCGCTATCTATGCATTATTAGATTGCTGGATTTGCTATAAAAAACATAGCCGGGCAAAAATATCTGCAAGTCAAATCCTATCAATAACTCCCCCCACACCAATACCAAAGCCAATTCCTAGCGGTGCGAAAGAGACAAGGGGTAATCGAAAAACTAGATTCAATCTGGGTAAAACCTGTTCAGGCGTGTACTGCACTATTCCAAATCTTATCAATGGGAGCGTCTCTCTCCGGCACCGTAATCGTTCCAAGCAAGGGCTTTATGGATATGCGCACCATGCGATCATTACTATTTGTCAGTTCATCTGCCAGCGATGATCACTAGTGGATATGTTCAATCTGGTGCCTATCACCTTGACCAAAATGTGTCGGAGCATCAATGTGAAGCGTGTATTTATATCCGATACAATGACAGCCGACAAGCTATGTTGGCAGGAAAGCTTTTTTGATGAACAACTTGCTTGCATTCTCACCAGTAACGGTCCCGCTGACGAAAATGAGATGAGCCATATCACAGTCCAGAAAGAACACAATGTCTAGTTACCGAACGTAGCCTTTTAGAACACCAGAGACAGAGTCTTGGCAAACGGATTGCAAAAATTGCCGGAATTAACAAACTGGTCAAAGGTACCGTCGTATGTGGAGGGAAGACACGTTGTATACATGCGCATATAAACTTACTCATTTGTTTATGCTGGACCATCGATTCATAGCTGTAGATGTCTTCTCCACTAAAGTGAACCAATTGGGCTTCATATGCCTCATGCAGTATCTTACTTGAGATAGTAACACATGCTGTGTTTAAGGCGAGCCAATTTTATAAGACAAGGAATCTTAAGCTTAGAGATCGAAGCGCAGACGTGCCAGCCAAGGCTTTGATAACGCGACACCCGAGCTCAAAAATTTCCTCCATTTTAGAGCTTTTAACATTGCAACACAAGTGGCGTCGGGCCCGCCAGCCTTATGTATCGCCTCATTTAATATGCGGCTGCATCATCGTGATGTGCTCCACTTCATAGTCGGAGTACCTTGAAACGCATCCATTACTGCGATGAGCCGACTCGGCTTATACTTTACTTTAGTATGCTAAGCAAAGAAAGATGGCCGCCGTGTCAGTCTGCAAAAGTAGTTTTTACGACGGCTGTGTGCTCAAAAACGCATGATCCATGCACATCATGCATTTTTGCGCACAGTATTAGCAATTACTTCGTTGACATGATTTAAGTGGTTCACTGCTGCCTCTATAAGCTAGAGAGACTCAAGCGCAGCGAGTGACACTTTCGTGTGGTCGGCATCGTCTTGAAGTAGCGTGCATCCTACGGAAGACGATGTGAAATTACCGCTTTCGGTTCCGGAAGAACTATGAATAATCGTTAGTATTCAAATCAGCCAGAATAGGAATGCATTATCATTCTTTGAGCGCCTCAAAACCGCTTCTTTTGTCACATCTAACAACATTTGATGTACGGATTTCAATGATCAGTGCGGGGCTGTGTCATATCGGCGTTTTTCGCACTAAACATGTGCAACTACTTGGCCAGACCAAGTCACATATGTGAACTTTTGAAAATAATGGCACTGGTCGGTTCTTAAAGCCCTCTTGAAAGTCAATGGGTTAATCGCAGATCGTGTTTTCCAGTAATGGACCTTGAAAACAAAATCGCGTCAGCGCCAAAGACAAACTTGCCCGTCGTGGCCAATGTAAAAGCTTATTTGTGCGCATACACACTAGCACTGCTTGCACGTGTTGGATGCCAATATTTGATTCCGCATCAATGACTTATACACATGGACAATGTTGAGATAAACGTGTTAGTTATCACTGATGCAGCCAAATAGCTGTGTCACCAGGCGGTTGAGCATCGCTGGTGCGAGGGTAGCTCTTACATCATAAACAGCCACCTCGCTCGAGAACCCCCTGCAGTGAGGGGAAAGTAATCGATTCCATGTGCAGTCACTTATAGTCATCAAATAGGCCAATAGTACCAAACAGGGTATGTTGTTTGGCAGCATTTCCTGTAACAAGAATAGTGTTGCACTGGATGAAAGCTGCACGAATCCCATTGCATGCATGCATGTTTTCATCACTTGCTATTAGATTTTTCTGCTGCTGAGAGGTTGCATTGAGTGGGACGATTCACACTCTCCTGCAAAAACATTCTCGTAGATCAGGCGGAAAGCAGCATATATGGAGTCACATTGTTCCTTAATTTGTGTGACGTAATGTTTGGTTCCAGTAACCAGGGAAAGGCACCGCAATCCGGTAGCATTACTGTGGTGATATGTGGTCACTATGTCAAAATATTGATGTATATTTGGATAGAACGAAAGCCAAAAAATTTTAGAAAGCCAATTCACAGTGCTCTGAGGCTCCATTACGGACACATACATGAATATTGAAGAAATAAACCTTTCTTTCTAATTTTACAGCTTGAATATCCCACCGTGATACAATATCTCAGAAAACATTACAAAGCTTGATAAGATCATCTTCATGAAGTTGTGAGATAAGACCTTCATCCCGAAGGACTGAACCGGCTGCTTCATTTATGCGCAAAAACGCCTTCATATCGCAAAACCTTGATGATTCACTCTTCCGCACAGCGGACGATCGTAAGGTATTTTGTCTTATCAGAACCGTTACATCAAAATAACGATAAATAATTTAAATTGCATCAATGCTAAGAAAATCACTCGCAAATTACAGTTTTATTGCTGCTGGATCGTGACCGGGACCGCGGGGCTATTCTGACTCACCCCCAGGAGGTCATGACGATGGCAACACACCGTCAGTTTTATTTGTGCCACCAGAACTAATGACTCAGAGCCTCAAATTATCGTCGAAGCAAAAAAAAGTCTCGGGACTCGACACGCTGTCGCTAATTTGAGTCTCAGCAAAGATACACTCTAGAAACCGCAATGTGCGGTCGATTCTTTATTTCTCATTTTTAAGATGTGGTACCATGCTTTTTGTGCCTAGCGCGAAGCAATTAGATATATCATTGTTAGTTGATTTGGTGAAACGTATATCGTGCATTGGAGCTATCACAGTTTCATAATCGCGCCAAAAGTGCATCTAATTACTTGTCGAGGTCGATGTATGTCTTACAAAAGCTTTGTTGGGTGAGATGTGCGTGGCAGACAATATTTTTCAGTTTTCATTTGATCCACGGCTCGAAGCGCTTAGTTGGCATCTCGAGTAGCAAATTAAGACCATGCAGTGATAACGCCCTCAGAGTCTCCAAGCACTACAGAAACATCGAACAGGCCTTCAAAATTTAAACTTGTGTCCTTGTCGCAGAATTCACTGGCACTGTATACATTCATCATTATCGCACATCGAACGTAATATACCAGGACTTTTCACGGCTTTGTAAAGCTTGAAACGGCGAGTTTAGCATCCAACAACTTTGGGCTGTGAGCTCTATCTCTCTTAGAGAATCTAACTGCCAGGGGCTGGGTTCAGCTAATCTCGATCCCTTGGGGTACAATAAAGTATTTACCGACGCGTGTCGACTGAGATATTTTCCGCGAGAATTTTCTCGACACTGGGGTGAAGATTGATGTTGTGCCTTTGAAATTTTAAGGAGGGGCTCGCAGGATGAAAACGTTTGAAACTACCACAAATGTAAAATTTGCAAGTGCTCAGCAACATAGAGATATCGTTTTTCTTCTTTTGCTTGGCCAAATAAACACTTCTGTATTTAAAAAAAATCTGGGTTGTCTAAAACAATGCATATGTATCAGCCAACATTCTGTTGAAAAGAGTACACAAGAGTATATAACTCGAAAGTGGTACTGGTGAGGACGATGGAACTTCGTAGAGAAAAGTTTCGTGGGATACGCGGGCAGTAAGCCCATACAAACATTTGTAATTGAACATGGTTAAACAGCTATATTTGGAATCAGTTAAATCAGACGCCTTCCATATTAGATGTGAGAACTAAAATAAAAGGCCAAACTAGTCACCATTGTACTAGAAAAGCTCTCGGTTATGCCCCCGGGTGAAGCAAAAATCGCCATTTTCTGCGTATCGTGTAGGCAAATTCTTTAGTCGAAGCTTTTCCTGTGCAAATGTTGAGTTCTTTTTTTCTTGACTCAACGACCACGATTCAGTGGATTGAAACCTCTGTATAAAATGAATGTTATATCTCATCAGTCTCCGGTCCAACAAGACATGCTTAATAAGCTCATTAATAATCGTCACGATTGGTTAGGTATTTGCGATTCTAGAAGCGTTATTAGTACCCGGATGCCTGGAGGTGTTTGCCATCTATGAGAATGCGCCGGTGCGAGTGTCCTAGTCAGGCATCAGTGGAAGCACCGCAGAATTCCTTGGTGAAGCCGCTTATGCAAAGTGTCCAGCCTTTGTGGACACCGACCAAAGAAATCTTTAATGGAGGATGAAGCTGATTCTAGCAATTCAGCATCAAATCTCACCGGTGAAATGTTCTAAAGGACCTTAGCAATGACTGACAACCGGAAAATTCAGTCATCCACTTATATAACAGCTTATCATGATTATTGGTGTTATCTTCATACTTTTGTTTTGCAGCATTTCGCGATGTTTGCTCGCTGTGGCCTTGATTAGCTCTAAACCACACCTCAGTACCACTTCTGCCCTTATTGCTTTGGTCAAGTCATATCAGCCGGGAGAGAAGAGGTGCGAAGAGCAAAAATGTTTGATACTATCACAGATAGAGCATTTGCAAATGTCTCGGAAGCCAGGAAATCGGTCTCTTTTAAGGTACGGAGGTTCATGCCATCTGGCACGCTGGTAGGGTTTCCATCTCCCATACTTCAACCAACTTAACAAATTTGAACTTTGTATCTGATACAATGCCAATCGCATTCTAGAGCGGTAAGTGAACGCGGAAGGTGGGTGTGAGTCGCACCTGCCATTCATCAAGGCGGTGATTTGTCGCCTTCGACAAAGGGTATGCCACCATCGCTGCGAGTGATTTCAACTCAGAATGCTATTATTTGCCTCTCTTGCAAGCAGACGGTAGCCTTAGGCGCACACAATGCGCCAGGTCCAGTGGTGCGAGAACTTGCGGCATCGATGGCTTCAGATCCTCGCATATCGAAAATACCCTTATTTCAGAAGCTTCGCTGCCAATATTCGACGTGAATTTCAAGCATGAAGACCACTAGTGCGAGACGATGACGCTTCTTGTTATCGATAGATAATTTTATGCGATCTCAACTTCTCTCAGTCCCCAGTTATTTCACTGCCAAGACAGAAAATGAGCAACGGTATGTCGTGTTGTCCATAATGTAAGTCTTCTGTGCCAGAGCCGATTGTGACATGTAAGGACGGCCGTATGTTACAGTCTCCGATACAGGTGCCGGGGGGGGGGACGGCCAACGGTTATTTGAAAGTAGAAAGGTAAGGATGTAAGCGATGTTTTTTTGCCTCGATGTGGTGGTACTACATAGTCAGCACTACCATATGAGGTGCCAATCGTGCGGAGCTGTAGGGTTCTAACAAGATAATTTTCTACTCTTGAATGCTGTAACGAAAGTAGACCGATAGTTTGTAAGTCTTCTCTCTCGACCCCCAGTAGAAAAGCTCATTGACTCTTATTCCTACCGCAGACTCACAATAACTCATCATCTGTCATGGATAAGTTTGATACTGAGAGTACTTTTTTATCGAGGAACATGGCATGTGGGCAGATCCCACGAAGATCGCGGCTATTGCTTCGATTGATGTCTCTATTCCAGACAGACTCAAGAAAGTGACTAGGCCAAACCCTTGCACAAGTATCATGCAAGTGATGACCGCGTGGCACGTCCCCTTGCCAACTCTCTATTAAATTTTGTCGCATGGCACTGAGGTGCGCACAAGAAGTACCATCCAGGTTGTGATGGAAAGTCTAATGCCTTTTCTGATTCTGGCTGTTCCAAATCCGGATGGATTGGCTATCCTTTCATGTTAGTATGACACTTTAGTTCTTTATAGGGTACGCCTTATTACAGGTAGATGTCGATCGGCATGCATAACCATGTTCAAGTCTCGCTTGCTTGAAGAAGCAGAGAGGAACTATCCCTATCATGAAAGATGGACCCTCGTGCGAGTACGCTCCACTGCAGGGTGCAAGTGACGGAGTACTACCTATCGCGGTGGATGCTCGTTAGGCGTTCGCTATTACACAATGTCATTCAAATGAAAAAGACATGTGAAAACTGGTGGGGCTCACATCTTGGCGGGTAATGTAGTAGGGTACGTTCTGTACTTTTGTGTAAGTACACATAACAATTCCCAGAAGTTCCATGTACTGATGGCGACGATGGTGCTGAATAGATGACGTCTGTGGCACACGTGAGCTGTTAGCCTCATGTAGTGCGATGCGTATAACCTTATTACTGAATAAAATAGCGTCGTAAGTACTAGTTTATCCAGAATTTGAACAAAACATTTGCCACGTTTAGAAAAGAAAGTCAAACTAGGCCTGCCACTTGGGAGCTTCATGACCGGACTGAGCAGCTGAGCTTTTTTTCGTCACATTGAGTTTTCGACTTTTCTCTTAACATTTGAAATGCAACTTTTTCACATTTTTGTTTCTATGGAGAAATTATATTAAGCTCTCCATTGTTTTTAATTTCTCAAAAAGTATTACATTTATCGCTAATAATATATGTGCTATCACTTATCATAATAAAAAGCTTCTTGCTTGAAAACTAAATCATCACTCTTTGATCGTACATCGAACACATAGTATACGATGTACGATCACTGCACTCAATACTTGGATAATTTGGGTGGTGCAGCCTAGCGTGATCAACTTACGTGATGGGTTCGCTACACAAAAGATACGAAATTTGTTCTCAAGCAGACCGTGCTTCATAGATGTTGCACCGGTTGTTGATAGAAAGAAGTTCAAATTCGGCGTCAAGTTAAGCACATAGCCTAATAGTCGCGAGATTAAACGGCAGTGCGGCGCGCCAAACGAGTGGCAAGATTGCTGTCAAGAGAGTTGATATTTTTCCAAGAGACTTGTGCGCGTGACAGTGCTTATCGAGGCAGTACTTACGATTACTCTAGATTATGCCTAAGTTCTTAAGTTCAATATTGCTCTTCTTCAAATCTATCTATCTTGTGATGGGACGCAGCTGCCTCCGTCAGTGAGTGTACTTCAAATCCTATCAAGAGTTTTGAACATATGCAATAAAGATCTGAAGCAATGTCAAAGCACCCCTTTAAACTAAGACTGTACAGAAACACAACCTTCACGCGTTGACAAAACAAGATTGGTACCCACGAGACCTTTTACTACGACTTCTGCTTTTATCACTACAGAAATAGCTAGGTGGTATAGTGAGAAAATTTAACAAGTTACACAGTATATTATTACATGGAAGCATGAGGAATGCTCCCCAGTGAGGGATGTCGTCGAGATTCTTGAGCCTTCAAACAGTTTTCATGATGGGCAAATCACGAGATTGTGTTTGCATCTATCTGCCTACTCCATGTGTGGCAACTTTTGGTCTTGTCTCCCTGCGTATCATTTCATAACTTTCTTCCCGATGATCGTGCCAACCCTTACAACTTTATTACTGCTTGATGTCAGTATATCTTCCGCCTATAATTCGAGTCTTGGTGGCCAGCTTGGAGACACCGTCGTCCCCGTTGGTCACTTGAACCGCTCGCTACCTTCTGCGAACAACAATTCGACCGTTGCTGAGGATGAGTTGGAGAGCGACGATGATAGTGAGCAAGACAATACCGAGTTTGACAGCACTGAGGCGGAGACAAGGAGTTGGATCAGTTCTACCACAGGAAAAGTACAACATTTCTACGAAAAATTGTCAAGCAAAGAAGATGTCGTAGGCAACGAGCTCGGCCAACATGTTTGGCAACAGATTATGGAGATGCACCAGCAGCCAAATGTGAAACAAACTCCAGAGCAAATTAAGGAGCTATTTGCAAAATTGGCGAATCATATCAAGATCAAAGACGAAGATCCAACCCCACGCATTGGCATCTCCGTCTTACTTGAAAGTGCCTCAACGGAGATCGTCCAAAGCGAACTGCTTCGATCGAAAACAAAACTCTCTGCAGTGTTTGACATTCTGTTGAGTCGTACGCAGGACGGAAGCCTAACTGATTTTTTTAAACGCAAGCTGCATGTTCCAATGCTATCTTACGCTTGCAAATACTTGGAATCCACCAGTACAGCTAAAGAACAAAAAGCTGTCTCACAGGAGATGTATCAGTTCCTCACCGCTGATCGTCAGGGTAAGAATTTTATTACTATGCTAGGAACCTATGACGTCACCTATGTCCACGAGGATGTCGATAAATTGATCAATTTATTGACAAAGCAGCCTGTGACACGCGTTCTAGCGGCTCGATTGAACATGATGCGAAACTTCAATCTATCGTACTATTGGAACATCATTCGCAATCAACATTCGTTGAGTCTTCCACTTAATGTCTGGCTTGAGCTCGCTGCTTTCACTCGTTTCAGCTACATTGAGCACGAAGCAATGGATTCTGCCTTTGTGTTGTCGCAAATCTTCGACACACTCACTCAGACGCTTAAAATACCGAAGACAGACGTGAAAACAGTGTTCTCAGCTATTTCCGAAGTAAATCAAGTGACATTTGAAATTGGTCCTAAGACGATGTTATATTGGAAGCTTCTGTATCCAGTCGCAGAAAAGGAGATAATGAGCAGACTTGATACCATAAAGAATGAGGATGAAGTACGTCTTCTCAAAGCTACTTTGCAGAATGACGATCAAGTGGAATTGGTCAGAGCGGCTTTAAAGGATAACGAGAAGATTGTTTCTTTCGAGGCGGCGTTGGATGATCAGGCAATGAAGACAACGTTCCAGGCGATGCTAAAAGAGGATAATCTCGTGCAATTGCTTAATGCGCTGCTCGAAGACAATTACAAAGTGCAATTGCTCAAAGGGGGTTCGGGAGATCAAAAGCACCTAGAGATGGCTCTGAGCAAAAGTGATGTGAAGGAGGCGAAGGATGAAGCTGGTGATATGAATATACTCAAAGCGCTGGTCAAGGATGAGGGAAGGTTGCAGTTGCTCAAAGCGTCTTTGGTGGATGATGACCGTGTGAAGTTGTTTAAAGAAGCTTTGGAAGCTGAAAGACGGTTAAAATCGGTTGAAGATATGCTGAGCGGTACGGATTTGAATATGAAGCAGATATTCAATTCGATACTCGCGAAGGAGGATACAGTGCGTTTACTCCAAGAGACTGTGAACAATAACGAGCGCTTGAAGTTGTTAAGAATTGTGCTGAAGGAAAAGAAATCAATAGCGAGCTTGAAGACGGTGCTGGGTGATGACACTCTGTCGGCGGCGCTCGATGAGGTATTAAAGGATGTGGATCAAGTGTTTTTCCTCAGATTGGCAATTAACGATGAGAACCGTCTGTGGTTGTTTCGGATGGCTTTAACGAAGCAGCAAGAACGGATAAACAAGTTTGAAGAGATGTTGGACAAAAGAGAATTGGGGCATGTGTTTAGAACGATGATCGAGAACGAAGAGAAAGCAAAGTGGTTAGGTGCGATTTTTGGTAGCCCATCAAACGCGAGAGATCACAAACAAGCGCTGAAAGATAGAGATCTGGTAAAGCTTGCTGGCGAAATGATCAAGTACATGGAGAATCTAGAAAGTAAAGCTAGTTCTTAACGAGTTTGAGGTTGACCTTAGATATTGTTTTTTAATAAGCAGTACGTCTCTTGAAACTTTGGTGTTCAAATGTACAAATGATTATAGTCGCGTGGTTATTTTAGGTAGCTTTTAAGCTTCTTTCTCTCAAGTTCAGATGTATATCGCACAACGTCAGCAAAAGAATCTTGCTATCTCCTCCTTCATACGATGCGAATGATACCAATGTTGATAACATTTTCATTTTCCATATACTTTGCAACTTGTTGTCTTACACTTTTGATTAACTTCTTTCTTCTTGAGCTTATCACCAAGTGCTGTACTATCCATATACGGCGCCAAGATATTGACGAAACTGAAAAAAGCTCATTCTTCGAAGTTGCAACGCATGTACTCACGCTTACGACAATTGAACTCACTTCTGGCAAACCTTAATCATTTGCATCACTCTGCGGACATTGAGCGCTCTCTCGTCTTTTCAAGTTAGACGCAGTGAAGTATTTCATGGCCTGCTTAGACGCCTCGCCCTTCGCTTTTGACCACCTTGACTTCGCACAACTTTGTACTTGAGAATTTCGTCGGCGACATTAACGAAGCGCACATAGATAAAGCGAGTAACACGATGTCAATCGGCCTAGGTTCTTCCGTATAGACTAGCAGATCTTAGCTTCCTGCTCATCAAGATATAATTTTTTGCGCTACTCGCGACAATATCTTCTTCACTTGCCTCTGTATTTGCTTTGTCATCGTGATTCAATAGCGTCTACCGTCCTTCAATATCCCCGTCGCTTTCCTTGCTCAACAACATGACCTAATGCTTCCAAACGCAAATGATGATCCTCTTCATCCTGTTCAGCGTGCAATTTCTTCATTTTCTTCATCTGGACTAACTCACAAACCACGTATACTATTGTCTGTTCTGCTCCAATCTCTTGCTCGTGCTGTGTGATAGATTTATCTTTCGCATTATCGAGAGCTTTACACTTCTTTAGATCACGACACTCCTTTGGAAATGATCGTTTATATCTTCGCGTTTGGTCCTCTGTGTATACACCGTCTCTTCTTCAAACCTCTCAATTATTAAAATCTGCTGCAACATTAATGTCCTCTTATCTGCCATAGACATCATCGTACAAATTGCTTCTCGAAGCACACATTTTTTTTCTTTGTCTTGGCGCCGTCAAACGTATGCGGCAAGCTTTCTTCACCTTGTCGAATGATCACTAAAATAGCACTCCTCAGTAAAATAATTGCCAGTCTCACCTTAAACCTTGACCGCTAGTTAGATACTCGCCCGTAGGAGCTGTGTTTAATACTTGGTCTGCGTGTTTCCAGTGAGCACCAGCAATAATTTGATAAAACTAAGCACTGCTACGGCATGCAATCATTTTCTTTGCCTGTCCCAAAGTAGCCACAAGAGTCTTGAGTCTGCTCATTGTATGGCTTCACCAGCAGCTCGTTCTGGTGGGGGGGTTCCAACAAGTAAGTACTTTTCAGCAGGCAGAAACTATTAAGACTTTCGATCCAAAGCGTTTCAAGTCCCGAATCGATCTCACCGCTTTTTCTTTGCTGCTTCTCCAGCATCTTAGAAATGCTCCACTCCGCCAAAGTAATAGCTGGTACCGTAATCCGCACTTTCAAAAGCAAATATATCACCTCGTCTCTTGATAAGTACGTGACATGAGTTGCCGTTTGTTTTCTCAAGATAGCTACATCACTTTGAGTTTAAACAGTAATGACGCTAGCCACAGCTATTAATGTGCGGACGTAGTAACTGCTATGTTTATGAAGGGTAACGTGCTCAACTTGTAATTTGTACATAATCATGATATTAGACGAGTTTTTGGTTACAATGTCACCACCAACTTAATTTGTCGAGCCTTGATTTTCTTGCTCGCAGACAAGTGGAGCGAACAGAGCAGTTTGATTCAGATATTTATGTAAGTAATTTTTACTTCAGAAATAATAGACACGATAATCAGTATGGAGCAGGAGCTGGATTAGAGATTGATCCAGTGGAGATCAAGGATCGTCCGTGATGCCGACGAAAATCTGCGAACGCTACATGGACGATGAAGAGGCAGTCGTTACAAAGGACAGGGAAGAAGTCAAAAACATGGAAAGAAAAAGAAGAAACGAAGACATGTGAAGAATAACAATTGAACGAATTCACCAGCAATCAGGACCATTGCACGAGATTTCTGACTCCATTTATATTTACATCGCAAAACTCACGAATACCTAAAGTGTGTCGTGCTTCTAAGATGTCAACGCACGAGATGAAGTAACAATAAATGGATAGATATGTAATTGTTTTGTTGAATAGATTAATCTCTGACGCTACAAACAGATTCCAACGGTAAATGATCCGTGTCTTACTTTATTCACAGAGAATGATTTTGATACTGCAGGGGATGACTTGCTTTTGTTCTGTTAGAATAACGAAATAATAAGATTGCTGGCTTTTGAGAGCCCAACAACACGACTCATGTCTCGGACATCATATTTTTGCAGCTACCGTTCAATTCAGAATTTGGTCCATACACCGAAACGCTGACAGTCACAAATAGGCCGACACCACCCTGAAAGTTATAATATTTAGTAACAGGATTTGATAAACACGCGTGCAAGCTAAGTCTTTCGGAACGTTTTGCATGATGCTTGTGTCATACAAAAAACGCATGGTGCGCGCGACAATCGGCTACGTCTTTTCCGGGTTACCACCTGAATTCAGAAGGATGCCGGCCCATCCGTTAAATTTTTATCCTTCTCCCGGAACTTGTTTTTTATTATCTCTTGTAACAAAGTAGTCATAAAGCTATGAGCTTCTCCTCGGGGAGAAGCGCTTGAGCGATGGGTGCAACGGCACCGGAAATAGCAAAAGCTGTGGCTACAGCAAATCATTACTCTCCGCAGCACATGTCCAGCTCGAGGGGGAAGGTTTAATGTTCACGCCATCAGGTTCTCGACGTGTTAGATCCGATTTGCATGTCGATCTCGAAGAAGTAGAGCTCGCTTTTCGGCTTCATCAACCGGTAGCACATACACTCGGTAAATGCTCGCGATGTTTCGATAGGCGTCATGGACGCAGTCGACACCGACAGCCTGCCTGGATCCCGCGGCGATGGTTGCTTCTTACCTTTTCATCTGTGCAGACTGTGCAAACATTTGTAAAAGCCGAATGTGACAGATCAATTTAGATAATGTGATCCTTTTTGTATTTCTAGCTCGCATCGTTCACATCGTAGAGCGAGACAGTTATTTTTTTATTAGAAGTCCATATAAACAAAATTCACCACCTACTTGTAGATTTCTGTTACCTTCCATTCCATTCTGCTGTAGGCATTCTATATGTCAGCAATAGACAGCAATAATTATTTGCACGTATGAAGACTGTGCATTGCTGCTACTGCACTTTCTGCAACTTCTCTTGCAAGATCCGTGACTTGTTATCGTTTGTTTTCTTTGCGACACCGCTTTGCATTCTTTGCGACGCCGCCGTGCTTTCTTTGCGACACTGCTTTGCTTTCTATGCGACACCGAGGGAATCGCGCCACCTAAATTTGCATAAAATCAGATGTCATGCAATTCGAATAAAGACTAGCTCCAAATCGTACTAAAGACGTGACCACGTGTCCCACGAACTCATTTCCATCACAAAGTATGATACTTCTCACAGTAAAGCGTACAACAACAAAAAACAAGCTAAACACAATTGGGACTTATTGTTGACGATTTTGACGACTCATTTTGGTGGAGAAGGCAACTTAGTGCGACATATTTACGAGGTGAAACATTGCCTAGGAGAAAACGCCGTTGATTTTGTTGACCCCCTGAAAGCGAGTTTATTTGACCAGTGTATACACCATCGTAGGGTACATGCCCTGTCAGATTGTCTGAGAACGCCTGCAGCGGGGCTACCGTAGCTTTGCGCTTAGAGAAAGCGTAAGTTAGGTCACCAACCTCTCGTTCTATACTTATAACAAGTACGAGCTTAGCGGACCGCAATTCGCTTACTCCAAGAGTAATTACAATCTTAACCCAAGGCTAATTAACTTTTCCGTTTAAATTCAAAACTGTATTTATTTGTTTTAACTGCGGCAAGCCGCCTAATTTTAAATGTATGGATTTTCCTAAAAATGTATAGTAAAATCTAAATGCATGCATAACTACTGGCTACCCAGCCTCATACCGTATTCTTGTTTGGGTGTGGTCACACCATACCCACCTGGAGTAACAGACACCCTTGTTACCTGGGTATGTGTAACCCTGTTGCACTCTCCCCCATTAAGATTGATAACATTTACAATTCCAATCGTTTATAGCCTCAACGAGGCTTGCGTGTCCGCTAGACACTGCGTTGGAGCAAAACGACTTCCGTGCTCAATGATCCCTGTGTCAACGACACTGACGTTCCCAAGTCTCGCTGGTTACGACAGCGCACACGGACAGAGCCCAACTTTGTCTTGCACGCGGTGCAATGTCGGACCGTGTGTCCGCGGCATCGAGGGATGTAAATCCTACGCTCGATGAGCCCGAGCGTCGCGCTCCGTGCACGCTATCAGTGACGAGCGACCTTGTTGGGAATGTGGAGGTGGTCGAGACTACGAGTCTGACACTCCTTTTCCCGTGGAATGACGAGGAAGGTGAGCCACGCCAGCGGCGTAAGATGAGCTCTGCTCGTGCCTTGCGGACCCCATGTCCGTTTCCTGACCTCTCATCACCTGAGAGACGTGGTGTCATCAC